CATGCATTCATTGACGGCGTCTTCGTCGGCCAAGTTCGCTCGAAACACGGACTCGTGTTCAGTAGACTACTGGTCATCTCTTACGACCTCAAGTGGCTGACGCATCTCCTCCATTGTGCCTCGATATTGTGCAACAACGCGATCGGCACTCGTACAAACTTGACGGTCATAACCATAGTGGTAGGACGAACTTCGTGGAGCGATCGCCTTCGTGGACACCACGTGGACACGACCCAGTGGTCTGACGTCACCGCCGATTCAGCATGTACACTGTGGCCAGTAATGTTTCGTTCTACGCCGAAGAATTCGCAGTCATAGACATGAAAATTTCCTATTTCGGGGATTTTTCCCTGTTAACGTTGACGAAAGTTCCAGCATATTTCCCTGCATAACAGTACTCATTTACCGCGCTCATCTACGCAAACACTATAATTACACGTGTATGGTGTACTGGCCACTTTTGAAATCATGACTAGCCTACCCGCTGCCTCACAACAAAGCCATGGCATATTCATTCATATAGTGATAGTACACTGCACATTGTGGGCTTCAAGTCTAACATCAATAATGAACTAGAAATTGCTCCGCGTATATCAAATCTCAAGGGTTCTGCTAGCGTGGTGCATGCACCAGAACCGATAACAGCAGATGAAGGCGCACTGTGACCGCTAATTATCGGTTGTCATATGAGAATTTAACCATTCCTGAAATACTTTGCAATATTGTGAAGATTTCTTTTGGCTCGAAATGACAGGCGAATATTCCCCGATAAAACAAAAATTTCCTGCACGGAACATCACTGAGGGGCTGCGCCTGTGAGACATACTTCACCGTGTGTAATCGCTTTGAAAGGTGGTTTCACTGCCACGTAGGTGCTCTGTGCGGTGAAACCAACCACTTTGGGGATATTCGCAATGCCGTGAAGCAACCTTTCAAGACTCAGTAAGGTTATAGTGTCTGCAACCCTGTTAATTTTAAACAGCGAATTTCATTGGACATTTGTATTTATAGTGGGATCATATCATAACATCCATCTATATTAAAACACTTGTGGGCTCTTATCGCAATAAGAACAAAAGTTTATTGAGAAAACTGAGTTCATGTGTGTTACAAAAAAAAAATCAAGCAATGCTTTATACCGCACGGCACTAGCAATGAGGTGGCACCTCGCTTCCAATTTTCTTTGTCTATTTGAATAGAACCATCATATGCACCATTTATAAATTTGTTGTACTGTTCTTGGGTCATTTATTCTCACATCGTATATTCTGAATTTTCTTTGCTTTGGAAATTTTGGGTATACAGTGTTTTTATTTCATAACTTGATAAGACAGATGCTTGGGCTAGTTGGTGATAGGGATTCAACATATTTGTACAGCGCAAGACTACGAGTAGTTACGATGTAACTACAGAAGAAGATACAAGGACAGAAAGAGCGCTGACAACTGAAATTTTATTAACGAAAATGCTGGAAATATATACTCATGACGGAACACCACCGCGCAATGTATTGCATCACAGCAAGACAATCATCATCTCATTATATGGTTACAACGCCACAGCTCAGCACAAGTTCACAATCAATTGTGTCAAAGCCAGAAACTCGCTTTCTTTTTTAGTCAGAGCAAGCGAAGGCATGCTGATACATCGATCACCCAGCATTTGCATTTCATTGGCCTCCATAATCTCTCGTGTTAGCTGCTGACGGTGTTTGGCTACAACAGTGGACTTTTCGAAGTGTTGGAGGGCCCTATTAAGTTTAAAAGCTTGTTATATGGGCCAAGTAGGAAACCTTTAAACACAAATATTTCACTGTGTACAACTTGCAATGTAGTCATATTTAAATCATACATTTAATAGAAACTTGCTTCCACTTTGCTTCAACCCAAGGTAGCGTAAGTCAGAAAAACTTGTGGAGCTTGCTCAGACTCGCACTCAATAAACATTTTTGGGAGCCGTACTCACTATCACAAAAATTTGTTCAGCTGGACTCGCTCGGACTCACTGTCTTTTTCGACCACAATGCGAGTGCTTTTTAACACCGAAATTTCACGTAATCGATGCTCTTATTGGCACCTTTTCTTATGTTGCCTTCGAATACGAGTTACAAGTGCTCGTAAACCAGTAAGGTCGTTTTTCTTGAAAGAGATGACAGTGCAATATATATTCATCACCAACTTTTTTGTTATTAAATGTATTTAAGGAGAGGTTATCACCAACTTCCTTTAGTTGTCAATGGTTAGGGAAAAATCGAGGCCTTCCACCATGTAATTCATGCCACTGATCAATAAATATTCAAATGGTATATAAAAGAAACGGCTTTGAAATATGTGAGCATTGACGCGAGTATGAACGCTGATCTAGGTAAAGCGGATAGTAATACTGAAGACAAGTAGGTATGACCATAGCTTGGCAAACAAAACTCGAACTCAGATTCCCTCAGGAAATGTATCTTGCACTTTGGACTCGCTCGGACTCAGAAACACCAAAATTTTCCAGAGACGGACTCATTTAGAAGCACACTCACAGAAATGTTAACTCATTCTGAGACTAGCGTCTCGATCCGAGTCAGAGTGAGTAGACTCCGAAGTGAGTTCGCTAATATTTACAAGAAAGAGACATTCCTGGTATAAGAGCAAAAAAGGACACTGCTAAGAGGCGAGAAAATTACACAAGCGCACGTGATATTCGTACAAGCCTATTTCTTATTCGTAAAATGTTTAAGGTTATTGGATTATAATAAAAATGCTTGATTTTAAATGATTCAACCAAATTACTACTTTTTCAACCTCACATAACTATTTGCCCATCACTAAACCTTGCAGTTCTTGCTTCTTCTGGCTGTTTTGGACAGGTGTGTGAAAGGAGTTGTGGCCGAAAATCACATGCATATTTTCTGACAGGGCGAGCTGTTGGAGGGCTATACTTTTCAATCAAATGTTGAATGGTAGAACTGAAGATTACCAAGCATATACAAGCTGTCTTGTCAGGTTTCATGCATATTCGGAATTCGCTGCGAGGAGGGCTCAACATATGTAATCAATTTGCAGTATTTCTAGTGCATTGAAGCTGTAATATTGGCGTACAACTTTTTCAAAGGGACTGTCAACTGCACAGTACTTTTTGCTTATTATGGTGAAAATGAGAAGATTGTTAATCTCATCAGCACCAATGAGCATGTTTTTTTACCATATAAAAGGAGTAATTTTGATGTTGAAAATCTACAAAGCAACTGCTGGCATCACCCAGAAGCTATGTGGTTCAATTTATCCACACAGAAATGCTCGCAAGTAGGCTGGCTTTGCTTTAAAACAAACATGTTTAACTTGAAATTGCATTTCATTCCTTGAGGCAACTTTAGACTGCACAAGAGAGCACTTTTGCTTGTTTTATCACGCGTTCAAAGAGGCACCGTGGCACTGCCGGCGAGACGGTCGCGTGCTTGCCTACGGCGGAGAAAAGCGAGTGCTGCGTCTGGCGCCGCTCTCAACAACAACAACAAAAAAGTCTTTGGCAAGTATTAGCACAACTGATTTCAGTAAATTTTCAAACCTTGCCCGTGGGTTCAGTGTCATCTAGTAATGTTGCGCGATCATTTGTGCTTAAAGTGCACAACAGTACTTACCAAAGTTCTAACATTGGAGAACATTTTGCCATCACGTTTCGCTTAATCATGTTGCCCATGCTGGCTTTCATCCCATATGCATCGCAGAACACCTAAACACAACTGCAAGACAGCGGGGAGATTCTGCTGTTTTGTGAAGGACATTTCATGTTTGTTTTAGTTGCATGCACACTTGGCAGGAGTAAAACCACTACAGTTCGTTTCACAATGCTGGCGTACCAGTGTTGCTGGAACGAACTCTTCCCCTCAACTGTGGTGGTTTTTGAGGCTAACTAAACAAAGCTGGAGGAACTTCAGTAATACATTATCTGACAATTTCCATCCTTTATACGAAGAGTACGGTGTATGTAGTATTATTGGTGAAGGCCTTGCAAAAACTGCACACGGTTTCAGTATTAGACTTTCACACCACTGTGATCACGTCCACCAGCCATCGTTCCGGGCGTTCATCACTCCGATGAAAGAAGACTGAACGCAGAATAAAAATTTTTTTCCGAGGATTTCTACACACTCGCCAGAGAAGCCGTTGGAATGTTGGACACTTCATACGTATGGTTTTTATTGCGATACAAAAACGGCAAAGCAGTGGAGCACTATCATAGTCACTTGAAAGTGAGACTTACTTGGGGTGCTGCCTCGCATTCTGGCCTTCAGAGCTTGCATTTGAATGACTAAATTACTTATGAGCCCAGACTTGGAGAGGACACTGCACTTGTTTGCACTTGTTTCATCATGAACCTTTACCAACACGCCCAACACGCCCAAATGGTGTTTGGAAGGTCTTCGTGTGGCATGGCACGTTCCTATTCATAATGCGTAGCTTAGAAGTCAGTGCTGAGCATCAGCTAAAGCTAATTAACCCTGAAGTGACTACCGCGACGTAGCGGAGTGTGATTTTTCCGAAACCCCCTTTCTGACCAGCGACGAGGCAAGGCTTGCACAAGTACGTGATCGCGTCGTTTTGTGTTGATTGCATACGACTTAGTAAACATCCAAACTTACATCGTTGATAACGGGCCGGCAAAACGTTGGGCAGAGCGAGGAGCGCAGCGCAGCGGCGATACAAGGCGCGCGCACTGCTTGAAACATGAACCGATTGCGAGATGTCAATCGTAGAGGGTTTTCCTTTTCTTGATCACGTCGTTCCAGTGCCCACTTGCGTCATTAACGAGCCGGCTTTCGGTTGCGAGAGGCGACAGGTGGGCACACACGATTTCTTCGCGAGTATCCAACTCAACTCGCTGCAGGTCCAAAAGCCTTGAGGGGTTTCCTTTGCGAGCAAGGCGGCCCCCCGCTAGCTGCAGCAGCAGCCTCCGGCAACACTATACAAAAGTGCGAAGAGCGACAGCGCGATGACACAGTTAGGCCGGCGGAAATGCATAGCCTCCAAGAGCGCTGGCCCGCGGTGCATTGTGGGTGGCTCTATCCGCTCGCCTTTGTAATCTCGCCTGCCGACCCACCAGTCCCGGTGGCCCCTCCACCACCCCACCACCAGCCGCCTGAGGTCCACCTGCACCTGGACGGGGTAAGCAAGGGCCGAACACCTGCTGCAGCACTGCAACAGGCCGCCGTCTCCAAGCTCCAGCAGCTACTGGCAGGGCGGCTCCAGGTCTTCACTAACGGATCCGTCATGCCAGACGGTTCAGCGGCGGCCGCCTGCGTCTTCCCGTCCCGGGCCATCAGCAGGCAGTGCCGACTGCCCTTCCCGGCGAGCTTGACGGCTGCGGAGCTGGCAGGGCTACACCTGGTGGCGGACCTGCTGGCCGAGGACGTTCCCGCTCAACCGGTCGCAGTCCTCTGTGACAGCAAGGCAGCCCTGCAGACACTGGCCAACAATCGCCGTGCCAGGCTCACGGGGAGTCTCCTGGCAACCAAGTACCGGGCCCTAGCAGCAGCCGGGACGTCCGTCTCCTTCCACTGGCTGCCCTCTCACGTGGGCATAGCTGGAAACGAGGAGGCGGACACGCTGGCCAAGGCAGCACATCAGCTGGGAACCCCCATCACCCAAGCCGTGGCGGTGAGAGACTACTCGCAGGCCCGTATCAAGAAGCTCCTCGCCTCAGTCCACCCAGACCAGAGGGTGGCCAATGGACGAGACCCAGGCGTCTTCCTGAGGCAGGCCTAACCAGGAGAGAACGAGCCAACCTGCTGCGGCTGCGGACCAGATGCGTGTCGACTGCGGCCCGCCGCTACCTCAAGGGATGCAGCGCCTCCCCAGCCTGCAGCCGCTGCGGCGACCCCGAGATCCTCGAGCACCTCCTCTGTGCCTGCCCTGCCTTGGCCCAGGAGCGCTCGAGGGTCACCGCAGCCTACCGGAGACATGGCCTTCCTGCCACCACCCTAGAGCACCTACTGTTCCCATCTCGTCCCCATCTACCAGCGCTGCGGAGCCTGGTGGAGTTCCTGGACGAGACGGGAATCGTGGCCTACCGCTGAGGATGGGGCCCTTGCAACCCCTACCCTTGCTTCTGGACTGCTGCTTCTGTTGATGACGACCGTTCCACTGCTCAATTATTCTTTCCTCTTCTTTCCACTTTACTCCCTTTCCCCTTCCCCGCAGGCACTGCGCCGTGCTCCCGACCGGGTTGCAGAAATTAGGTGCCTTTTCCCATCTTCTAACCAATACCACCACCACCACACGTTCATGCAGTTGTCAGTGTAGCATGCTTCCTTTCAACCCCAAATCAGATATTTTTCTAGCTAACCGGTTTTTTTTACCGCACGATACTACAGTGCCGGACACAATTTAGCGAGTCTATAATGAGTCAGCCTTTCCAAAACGCCACTGCAGCGATCTACGTGCCTCACAAAATTGAAATTGGCGAAACAAATCAGCCATCATGCTCGGGTGTTAAAATGAGTTGGCAGCCACTTTTTTTGCGCATCCGTGCATTCGCTAAGAATCTGCGTCTCCTAATAAATTTCAAATATACCGTATGTATTGAAGAATTGCAAAATATTACCGTAATAATAATTGCAAAATATTACCGCGATTGTATCTGATACCTTAGCGCAGTGCTTAGGGGAAAAAAACGAGAAGCAGCGGCGAACATCTTACCACACCATTTGTTCGTATGTACGAAACAAAGAATCCAGTGTTTAAAATGCCGAGTAAATCTGACGTTAAGGCGTCTCAAAAAGGGTATGTAGTCTCTGCGGGAGCAGACCATGGTGAAACCCCTTTGGTTTCCACACTCATGCACCACGCAGACGGCGCAACGACGTTACAAACGGTTAACAATGCGAATGTACTTGGCGGCGTATATAGTGTGCAGGATCTGCCCGTCACCAGCACCTGCATTCCCGTTGGCAATTTAGCTTTGCTTGGAAGGTTCCTGGATTATCCGTACGCAGTTGCTGCCGGCACTTGGCCTACCGGGCTTGTTTTTGTGCCCGGACTGCAGCATCAGCCCGCCGAATGCGAGCTGTCTCACCTTCTCACTTCCGGCCTTCTTCTCGAGTTGTCCGTGACATACCCATGTGGAAGGTTACAGGAGAAGCTCTCGAACACGCTCGCCTACTATAACTGTCTATCAAACAGTTAGTGTACCCCGGGCGTACCGTGATAGCGTGAAGTGTGCATGCGCCGATACGTATATGTTACCCGTACCACTTACTGTACGTGCACTATTTAACGTCAAACATGGTGACGCTCTGGGATGCCCGCCTTGAAGTGACGTGGTTGTTGAAAGATTCACTTTGTTTGCAGCAAACGACTGTTTAAAGTTTCTTCGCTTGCCTTCAGTTAGCTTCTACGACAGAGCATACAATTAAGTTGGCGCAGTCTCTGAGATAGCTGCCCAGTTCTAACGTGTTTAGGCCTAACTACAACATCAATGTAAACAAATCAGAAACCTTGAGTTTTTCGCATTTGGTGCGTTGTTCCTATTTACTTTTTTTCATTAAAATAAAATAAACGTGTAACAATACTTCGCGCGGTAACACAGGCTGATAATCTCGTTTTAATATCCTTCTCACTTTTCTTACACATAAACACTTTGATAGGTGGCGCCATCATCCCGTCCGGGGAACGTAAATGCTGTACCGTTAAACTATAGGGCACTGTCCGCGACTAATGTTTCCTGCACGGTAACGTCATTTCCTCAACCTCTGCTGTCGCGCTGAAGTTAAGGGAATAACCCAAAGCCCGGCCGACGGCGTGCATACGACGCTGCGAGTGATTAATTGATAGAAGAGCCAGTAGAGACCGCTCGAGACACCACCACTATACGAAGTTTTCAAGTTATACACAGCTTTCACTGTAAAACGGAGCACCAACGTAAGCTTACTGGCGTCTCGGGGAAGGTGGCGAGACCACTCGACGATAAATATAGTAGAGTCGAATGCGCCCATCCCCCCCCCTTCCAGATGAACAAAGGCGGAGGGCGCCTCTATATATCTGAATATGTTTTTTTCTTTTTTTTGTGGTCGGGACGTCATCTCAATAGCTCAGTTCCTGATCTCTTTTTTTTTAATTTTTGATGTTAAGTGTATATCTGATGCCATAAATGATGCTCTTTAAGCCTCTATCTAGCAGTTCGCGAGTCTGTGTTCTTTGTAGTTTTTGTTGAGGATAATGTCGTACCTATATAATGTCGTCTGTATATCTTTATTCTCGATGTACAATAGGCCTAATCGTTTATTAAAACTTTTTGCGCCAAAAGAATTACATGTTATTTACTGTCACACACAGGTCCCATTAATTAGGGAGGCGATCGCCGGGCTAATTCCAAGGGGCGAAGTATCGACCCCCTGAACCGCACCACGAAAGCGTGGACAATTCAGAAGTGGTCCTTTTTGGCGCGCCAGCTGACGCCGGCTGTGGCCCAAAGAACAAGTCAGAGCCGAGAGTTGATAAACAAAGTTATATTCTCAATAATAGCAGATCGAAAACAATACACAAATATGCACACTCCACAATTGGTACATACAATAAGTCACCAATCAAACAACGTACTACACAGTACAATCAGCCACACTCGAAACAACGGACTCAGACAACAATACGTACTACAATGCAGTCGCATGCATTGAACAACCCAGACCCTTAAAGACTAAAGAGATAGAAAACCTATTCAGTCCAAAGTTCTTGGAACCAAAGTTTAGATGATACTCTTCCGAGAATCACTCACTCAAAGTCCAGCGTTGTTGTCGTTCTGCAGCTCTCGAAGTTTCTCATCCAGGAAACCTCACCGAAGTTCTCTTTCAGGAAACCTCACGTCTTTTCTTGGCCACTCTCCAAGCTTCAAACTTCTTCGCCGGAAACATGTCGGCTTCACACCCGCAGCTGTTGCCACGCGTCTTCGCTCGATAGCGGTAAACACTAACTCTTGCCGGTAGCTCGAGTCGTCACCCAACAGGTGGAAATCATCTTCTTCTCCTGCTTTGTCTCCACGGACAAAACCTTCGCCGACTACACGGCGGAATCCCTACGCGCTCTGGCGCTAACTTCCGTCTTCTCCTGCTTTCTCGTCTCCGCTGCTCGGTTAAATACCTTCCGCACGACATTCCAGAAAGTTCTCGTCATTTCGTCGGCGCGATACGCAGCGAAGGCTGGAGAGGGGGCGAGACGGTTAGAATGCCCTCCGCGATGGATGACTCAACCCGGCGTACAACGCTATACATCACATCACTGCACAGACACTTTGACACTTGTGACACAGGATAACACAACATTAACACAACATATGACACTCAGCGCTGCCAAACACATTCCGATTCCACCTCAGCACCTATCCTGTGTATTTCGAGCTGTGCTTGCGTCCTTTCTGGCTGTGCTCGCTCGATCTCTTTTTATTCTTTTTGCTCGTTTTGTTCCGGCGAGCCCCTTCCAACGACGGTATCTGAGGCGGCGTCTCAGCCATCGTTGTCACTTCCGACACCCTTAACGGGTCATGACGCTCAACCGATCCTGCCCGGTTATTCACCCGCTTGTTCACGTCCCGACATTTGGCCTGGCTGGCCAACTCCGTCTGTTTTACACTGTCGGTCGGTTGAGTTCGTGCCGACGTAAGTCCAGTTGCTCAGTCCGCGAACTCATTCAACACGATCAACTTCTCACTCACTGTCTCCTGCGCCGCGGCTTCCCCTTGGGCTCTAGTGAGATCATTCACGGGATGCTCCTCCACTGTATCTCGCGGTCGCTGGGTTGGCGCGGGCTCTATTTTCGGGTCTTCCCCCAAACGTTCTGGATCATTCGGCCCTCGCGCCCCGTCAATGTTTCCGATGACGAGGTCGTAAAGGGGGGTCCTCATGCATAAAGCAGTAAACTTCCCGCTGAAGTACGGGGTTTCAACCTCAATCTCTGCTTCGGGAAGCATCCGAACCGTACGGTCAATTAGGAAAACCGGCTTCGTTTTGCCTGTTAACTCACTTTCCCGTACCAGATTTCTCCGCACGATAACAGTGGAGCTGCCAGTATCTCTTAACACCGTAATCTTTTTGTCCGCAACTTTTCCAGGCAGCGTTGGCATTCCCTTTGAAACACCGGTTGGCTGTTTTGTCATTAGAGCCCCCACAATAGGAATTTTCTCCCCATTTTTCAACTCTACGAATCCATCTGTGACGGCATTATTACTGGATATCAGTGCCGCTTGCACACAGGATATCTGGTGAGTTTGACTCGCCCCGTTTCGGCATGCGTCTGCTTTGTGCCCAGTCTGACCACACTTGAAACATTTTACTACCGTAGGGCTCGTAAAGATCGTTCGACAGTTTTTCGCGCAATGACCCACTCGGTTGCACAGAAAACAATGCGGAGTGCTCTCCGGTGCACGCTTTTTTTCTTCGGGAGCCGATTTTTTCGAATCTTCAGGACTCTCCTTCTTGACCCTGGCCAAATTAGTTCCACCTTGCGCTTCCAAGAATAGATCAGCCAATTCGAGCATGCCTTCAAGTGACTCAGCCTTCCTCTCTTTCAAGTACAGCGACAGGCTTGGGTGGCAACTAGTAAGAAACTGTTCTCTAATTAGGAGCTCTCTAAGCTCATCGTACTCCTGCGCTGTCCCTGAAAGTTCAATCCATCTGTCGAAATAATGAGAAAGTCGGGCGGCATACTGCGTAGCCGTCTCACCATCAGCTGGCTTTCCTGTCCGAAATCTGTCCCGGAATCCTTCCACGGTAAAT